TGGCTCACCTCACCCTCTCAGCAGCCCGCGGCCGGACCTGCCCCCAGGCCGCCTCACGCAGCCCCGTCCCGTCCCCACAGAGCGCCGGCAGTCCCGCTCCCGCCCTCCTTTACCTGCACCGGGGCGGCCTCGCCTCGCCTCTCCTCTTCTCCCGTCTCGTCTCGTCACCACACGGGGCGCGGCGCCGAAGCCACCGTCCCGGCCCCGAAGTTACAAGCCCCAGCAACAAGTCCCGGGAGCCGCGCATGCGTGCCGGCGGTTAGAAGCCGGGGCGGCGGCCATGGGTTTCCCGCCTCCTTCCTTCCCTCTCCGGGCAGCGCAGCCCCAAAGGCGGCCGGTTGTGTTCGTGGGGCTGTTGCTGGCCCTCGCCTCTCTAGCCGCGTTTTCCAGACCCTGAAGTGCTTCCCTCAGGGAAGGCAGCCCGTAGTAAAACAACCCGAGGGGAAGTTGGTGTCATTTTTTCTTGCACTGCTGCCCCTTTCCACCTGCCGCCAATGTGACATGGCGGTCGGGAGCTGCAGTCACCCGGTTTCATCCAGCGGGGTTTGTTTTCTCGCACAGGAGGCAGTCGGAGCTGTGCTGGGAGCTGGTGCTATTCCCAGACGGCAAGGTCAGCAAGAGCTGCTGAGTCGGAGGGCAGAGTGTGCCAGAACTGCCTCCGAAGCGTCGTGAGCCAAGCTTTCCCCTCATGCAGTATCGTTGAAATTGTATCTGCAATGGTTTACAAGAGTTATTTTAGTCCATAGTTTATCTACAAAAATTTCGTGCTGGATCCTAAAGACAAAATCGCTGGTGAAGAATGAAGGATTTCCTAACTACTTGGTGATTTCTCAGTTTTAATCTTAGATCAGCGTGGACGACAGTGCTCTGGTTTGGAGGAAACCCGTGTGTGCCTCTATGACGCGCAGTATCCATTAACATAAAAAAAAAAACCCAACCATATCCAAACAGAACTTTTTATAGCAAAAAGGGAAGAAGATACGTGAGATTTCAAGAGAGATTTCACAATTCCCAATCTAGTAAAGTGGGCAAGTGTGCAAGTACAAGTGGAGCAGGCCATACACCAAGACAGGTAACTCTGAAATAAATTAAGTAATAGTAGTAAAATGAATGTTCCGTGAAATAGTCAAAGCCCCTTGTCTCCACACACCTATAAAGAGAGAAATAGCATTCAAATGTTGTAAATTGGAAAAAATGAGACCTAGAGAGTTTAACTTCAAGTGTTTATGACAGAGTTGGGATGAGACTGATTCCCAGCCATCCACAAGGACGTCCTATCCTTTACGGGAGTTAATTGCTTCCAGCCAACAGCCCAGAAACACGATACGGCAAGGCCCTGCCGTCCACCTCTTCTCTACCCTTTCCTTCAGCAGCCATTTGATAGCCAGCATTGCCAACAATCATCATCCTCCTGTGTCTTCATCTTTTGCCCCTGATTGGCATGACTGACCTCAAAAAGCAGCAGGCATCTGAGGAAGAAGAAAATTATGATAATGATGAAAATCTAACTATTCAGAGGAAGGCAGGGAGACCGCTTGCCTTCAAAGATTTGCACCCTACCTCCAGTCTCGTGGATGAAGCAGCAGTGATGTTTCAGAACAGCGACCCACTCTAAAAACAACCAAAGGTTCAATCTGATGTTACGCTGACCAAAATCTCAGTCATATGTTGACTTTTATGTTTAAAAGAAATGAGCATCCTAGCTGCCAAGAAGCCAGCATCTCCTCCAGTTGACAGTTCTGCTCCTGCCTCTCCATCTTCAACTCCTGATGTCCCTATGTATTCAAACTGTGTGTATTACTTTAGGGCCCTGCATGCATACCCGCTATCCTGCTCCCTGCCACTTTATTAATCCACAATTGCTTTGCTCTGTCAAATCATTGTTTCAGGAATGCCTGCTCAGTGGAGAGCAGCATTTGGCTGTACATGTACTATGTGCCTTCCCCCACTCCATCCCACAAAAAGGGAAAAGTCCCAGTTATCTGCACTGAGAGACATTTCAAGATAGAATTTCATAATTTATCTAGCAGCTGCATTGTAGATAATCTGTGATTTTAAATTGGCCATAATGATTACGTTAGTTAGAAAATGGCATAAAAGTTCTCAGCTCAAAGCAGAGTGGTTCAGATTCACTGCTGGAATAAAGAAATTCCACTGTTGTTGAATTATGTTAATTATGTTTAAAATGCACTCTCTTCTACTTAGGGCTATGTTGGTGGGAAAGTTGTTTGGCATGAGTGTAGTAATTATTCTATCCTGGCTTTTCTGGAATAACTCTTCCTGTGGACAGTTTATTTCAAAACAGGAATTCAAAGTGGAATAGTTATAATCATTTTCTTTTAAATTAAATTTCACTGATGTAGCTGCAGCAGAGTAGACCTACCATGTAGGTGAAGCCTCAGTATATGCTTGCAGCTCTTATACTTCTAGGACCAAAATCTGTTTGCTTGCTTTTCTCACTGATTTCCTAAGCTGTTTGTACTTTTAATTCTTGCCTTATTTTTCAAAATTAAGAAGGCCTTGCTCTGGCTAGACTATCTCACTCTGTAGCGTAAAATAGGTGATATTCAGTGATCTTGACATTGTAGTCTTGACATTCTTCATTCTGAAGACTTTTGCCCAGCTACAAAATCATTTTCCCCTCTCTTTCTCACAAGAATAACATCAAGCTTTTGCCATTTGTTTTTTTTCTTCCTCTGTCTAGACAGGCTCTTTAGCTAAGTGGTGTGATTTTGTTTATCTCTAATTTCAACAGCAGAGTCACATTTCCCTCCTCCCTACCTCTTGTAAATAGGGTTTTGTTTACCCCTGTCTGTTCTTTTGGTGACAAAAGCCACATACTGTCATTAGTTAGCAAACGTTTAATTATGTTGCTAGAGCAGATGGAAACCCAGCCTCAGGACCTAGGGAGCAGGTCAACAGAATTTAAAATTCTTCAATCTTTCTTGTATTTTGCATGCTCCATATTCACTTCAACAGCTCTTTAGCACCAAGTTGAACAAGTGTGCGGGGTATTTACACTTACATGTGTGACTCTTCTCTTACTTTCTTAAATGACCTTATGGCTGAAGAACTCCACTGTCACTTTAGTTTGATTTATCACAGCAGGACTTCCCTTGATGGGTGAACTCCCAACAGAACATCAATAGTCTCTGGTCGTGAGTAGCAGGTGGCCTGATGCTTTACCATGCATGGCAACTCTCGCCGTGGTTTCTTCTCTCTGAAGAAACTCATCAGCCCAGCTTGCTGTTCCTTACTTATCTGCCTATTCAAATATATCTTAATGGATTTAATTCAGGCTTCTAGCCTGGCAGCCCTTTGCTGTCTTTTAATCTTCGCCGCCTTCTAGCAATCTGTTTGCAAGCCTCAATATACCAAAGAACTTAGCATGGGCATTATGGAGTCTTCCTTTGAAAGGCCTGAGCATTAATGTGTGTATAATAAAAACAAACAAACAAACAGAAAAATCTAGACAGATAGACAGATTTAAATGAACTCTAATCATAATACAAATAAGCAGCAAGTGCTGATTTAAATTAACAATTTACACTTGGTTTCTCTCCCTACTTATTAATTATTTTTGTAGTGCTGCTTCTCATTCATAGATAATATGTTGATTTTCAAGGTAGAAATAGCCTTATATTAAAGTTGGAATGTATTTCTATTAATCAAGAGAAACTCTTATGAAACTATTATGAAACTATTTTGACTATTATACAAAATATTTAAACAAATTTATCTAGCAATCTATGATAGAAATTTGCCTTGCTTTTCTTTTACATTTTGTGTCAGATAGGAAATGGTAAACGGGGCATTGGTACTGATGCTTGAGCATGATTAATTTATCTCATGATCTTCATGAAGTTGTATTTGGATGAAAACTGGAATTTTATTAAAATGCACAGGTAACTGTCATCTAAAAATAGCAATACTGAAAAGTACAGATGAAAAAAGTAAGCTTATTACAACATATTTTGCATTTAAACTTGATTTATGAAATGGTGAATTATTGTCCCTACTTTGTGCACTGTGCTTATTGTTTTTGATCATCCTGGCTATGTCTAAAGAGGCGTCCCTGTGAGTGCTCTGAGGCTTCTGTACCGATATCCCAGCTATAAACACTGCCAAACCCAGCCGCAGCAACTGCCGAACCTTGCCGTAGGCCTGCCTGGGCTAAGACAGGGCTATGCCTTACCTGGGGGCATTGCATGGACTTCCTCATCACTCACCAGTGTGCAGTGTGAGGTTTTAAACCTCCGTTTTGCAGATAGCTGGAGCGGTGGAGAATCTTTTACTGATATATAGGATTTTTAGGTGTATTATTGTCAAAATGCAACCGCTGTTGATGTGACACACTTGGGTACAAAAGTAGGACGAGGTGACCTGAAACGTGGATGACTTCATTGTTTTCTGAATATACATATTATCTAAATGCCTATCCGTGCGTTAACCCTGTGTGTATAGAAGCTGAAGGGAGTTAATGCATAGGTGGCATAGCACTAACTATAATTAAGGCAGCTCCCCAAGAGAGAGAGGGAGACGGAGAAACCATCTGTCACAATCTGGTCTCTCCCACTGAAGAGGACAGCACCTGGCCACATGACCCATTGGGTTTAGGTGAATCAAGGAGCAGGTGTATTTGTCACCAGTGTAAAATATCAAACCACTTACAGCTTGTAATGTTTTGCTGTTCTCAGGTATAGTATACATGAGTTTTCGCAAAGAACTCTAGTGTCCTCAAGAGCCTCTGTTCTCCATAGCTGCCCTGACCGTACATAGTAACTCTTGTTGCAACAGTACTGGGGTGAGACCTGGACAGACATGAGCATCCTTCCCTTAGGTTCTGCTTTCCCTGGAGCAGAAAGCTGGGTGACTGCCTGTGTAAGAGCCACAAAACGCTCCAGGAGATTTTGCAGTCTACCCCACTGGAGGGTCAAGTCAGGAGGGTTTGCTGGAACCTTGGATTGAAAGTAAATCTTTGTTAACCAACCTCTCAAATCCTGGTTTTGATCAGAATAGATTGGAGGAGGAAAACTAGTTTTTCCTTTTTTTTTCCCCAAATACTACTCAGTTTGACAACTTTGAGCAAACTAGTCATTAAACTACTTTGTCTGCTTTATCTGCTCTCTATCTGCAAAGACTCCAGTGAGATACCCAGCTTTTAGACTTA